ATCTCATCAATATATACATGCATACTAAGTTTCATCAAGATCGGTTAAAAACTGTACCCTTTATTGTGTTTACAAGCCAAATTTGACGCGTTTTACAAAGTCAGGGGCAAAAAGTCTGAAACCGATCAATCGATTATTACCATTTTCAATCTTGACCAGGAGCTCATCAATATATACATGCAAACCAAGTTTCACCAAAAAAATAATTAATTTAAATGATAATATTGTTCATAGTAAACTAAAAACAATCAGTACATAACAGATACTATACTTCTCGCCCATCAGATCGGAATAAGAACAGAAGAAAACCCAATATCAAGACCCTTAATCCTAATTTCTAAATAAAGTGTCAATATATGCATGCATACCAAGTTTCATCAAAATCAAATAAAAACTGTAGTCTCTATCGCGCATACAAGCCAAAATTTGACGTGTTTTTACGATTATTACCATTTTCGAACTTGACCGAGATCTCATTAATATACATGCATACCAAGTTTCATCAAGATCGAATAAAAACTGTAGCCTCTATCGTGCATACAAGAAATGTGGACGGACGGACGGACAGGGACGACGGCAATATATTTCCATGTGGTTGTATAAAAATGAAATAGAGATGGGAAGAATAATCAAGAAACAAAAAGTGGAAGAAAATGATTTAGATTCAGATGAGAAATGAATGTAAGTAAGAAAGGGAAATCTCCTTCGTTTCACTTCGTCAAAGTGAACAGGACACGTTGCTTGCTATATGTTGTCTTGAGTAGTGTTGCGTTTTTGCCCTTATTTAAATAAAACGCGTTACATTTGGCACCTTATCTTGATTAAGCACTGTGGAGATCTTGGTTCATAATTCTTTTTTTGAAACTGGCTTGGTCTGTCAGCTGTAACTCTATAGATATGTTATAATATGACGCTTTAGAACTTTCGAAGATTGCGGACAAATGTTTGGTCGTGGTATGATGGGGCTTAAAAGTGCAGGTTTGCTATTTTTTTTTACGATCGTACCTTAGTCTCAGAATAGTAAAATTATTCCTACCACATCGTCGAAATTGGAACCTTCAAATCTACGTGTCCATTGTTTTGTGGGTGTGAAGGGTTCAACTGATTACTCCAGGGGTGTGGAGGCTGAAAAAGGTTGCGAACCACTGCTTTAAGGCTTCTCTTAAATGATATGATTGTCTAACATCACATGTGATGAAAAGATTGAATTGATGTATAATTTAATATAGACAAAACTCATGTTAGAGGGTTTATCGGTGATGTGGACGAGTTAAAATCGCCCTCTCTCTCAGACACCCTACTCTATTTAGCGTAAATATATTTCGATGTCATGCTATCAAGACCGCTGCGTCGTATCTTATGAATATCCCAATTAATGATAAAGCATTTGGCGAAATATGCCAATAACTTAAGCTCTGGGGAATTTCTGAGTGGAATCCAATCTCGTTGAAATCGATGATGACGTTTGATCTGTTTTCACTCGAAACCCATTCTGAGTTGAATATTCTAATTGTTTGGGGAGTGTTCCCTCGCTTATATAAGATATTAACAATATATTCTCATACTGTTACCGGTGGACCCCAGAAAAATGATTTGTTTTCGATATTAACCAATAAGGTTATGTTCATTTGTGTATCACTAACTATACCGTAACTCTTATTGTACCAGAGAATAAGGCAATCTCATCCTGACTCGACTGAATGATAGTGCTAGCCTTGTATCAGTTCTGGGCATTACCCAACTGGTTACATCGTAGTACTTGTAATACTACTGTAAGGACTTCGTTCCTAATCGATCAGTTTTCTTCCACCAATTCTCAATCAGGTATACTATCCTATACATACGCGTGCAAAATCGAAGCAGACGATATAGTTATTTGACTCGCAATCAAATATCATTTAATCAATCTACGGGGATGCTGTGTCTTTTCTTAATCTATGGAATTTCCTAGATAGTAGTAGATAGTAGTGGTTAGTACTCAGAACTATGAAACCCATCATGTAAATATTAGTCTATTGTAGACTAGCTGAATATAGGACACCGCAGAATCCATGTGATCGATCTTTCATTGATGAAATTTCCTCTAGATAGTATCATAGTAGAAATACTCGTAGTAGATGTTCATCTCATAGAACATGTGAATTGGTTTTGTTGTTTTGTGTGAATGTTTAAATATTGCGTGATATAAAACTTCGGATTAAAGCTATAAACTACCAACTAGGGTGGAAGCAAGGACTATTACTCGCCCATGCTAATGGGTCGTGTGCTGGGATGGCTTACGTAGTTAACGTTAGAGGTAAGTCTAGACATTTTCCTTGATATACATTTTAGTTCTCTGAAGATGATAATAACAGAAAGTTGGTTTTTTGAGTGTTTAATGTTATTGATTGTCACAAATGAATGGGTATTAAGTAATATTGGTTTGTCAATGCCTAATAGTAGGATATAGTGTGAATTTCTTCGGGGTTGCTTTCGATTACATGAGATAACCAGTTTTAGGTGTCGGGGAAGGGAGGGTTTGATTCTCCCAAATGTACCGGCCTAGGGTGGAGCAGACACTTTATTTAGAAATTAGGATTAAGGGTCTTGACATTGGGTTTTCTTCTGTTCTTATTCTGATCTGAAATTAGAAATAATAACTCGCCCGATGGGCGAGAAGTATAGTATCTGTTATGTACTGATTGTTTTTATTTTTTGAATATGCCACTATCATTTTCTGCTTATAAACATGGGGGAATTTCTCTTGAAGGCTCTTATAGTGGTCATGAACTATTAATTTCTTTCTTTGAGTATAACATAAATCACATATTTAACGAATAAGGCATACATCTGCGTATTTCATGGAATTTTTAAATTTGTAACATATCATCTTTACATTATCTCTAGTACCATGAGATAATATCTAGTCAAGGGCGATAACTGATAAAACCGACATATTCAATAATGTATATTATTTGATTTCTCATCATTATTCATATGTATTCAATGAATGCCTATCAAAACTCACAAACAAATATGACTCACCGGGAATTAGTCAAGGGCAACAACTCAACCACCTATTGGATAAGCAAATAGATGACTTTAGGTTTGAAGACGCTGCCCTGTTTCCTGTCGCGGGTTTAGTATTAATATCTCAAAGCCAATAAAAGTGATAGAAAGGGATACAGTGGAATTTGTTTAGTACACTGACTTCTGTAGAATTCGATTTTATCTACCTATATCACTTTTCAGAATGAAGTTCCTCAGTCGTGCTAATTATTTGAGACAGCTTAGTTTTATTCAGCTAAAAATATTCAACTTTGAAAATAAAAACTTTCTTGATGGAACAGCGAAGACGAATTAATTTTCACAAATTCTCTATGTCAGCAGATAAAAGCGAACAGTTAAACGACTATCTAAAACAGGTCGTTTAAAGTGGTATAAATAACAATCGAATTTAACTAAACCATTTTATCTTTAAATCCCTCTTTTAAAGAGCACATATTTTAAATTAAACTGTGTTTAACTTTTCATTATTTCTGAAATTTATTGGATTTGAGGGCTAAAGTCTTTTTGCAATTAAATAGGCTGATAGACGATGAAGAGAGTCTGTCGATGTGAAAATTTGATTTAAAGATTAATACCTTAGTATTGTGTGTTGGTGAAATGAGCAACATCTCCCAGACACTATTAACGATTCAACCATCTTCAAACAACACTTATTATAAGATAATGTCGTCAATATTCGCTGAAAGAATTGGCACTTTATATTTACCGTTATTTTATAGTAAGACGTTAAGCATGCCTTTTTTGACTGAAAGAAAATATTGAATAACTTGATCTCGTCTGGAGAAGTTTCGGATTATTGTTAGTGTATCTAAAGAAACGCATTATTTACTATTTTGAATAATTGTATTTTTTTTTGCTAAGAAAATGACACGTTTAAGATTCCGCAAATACAGTGGTTTTGAGTTTAAGTAGGCGTATACCACGTAAAAGCACACCTGAAACTGCATTCTATACTAAGTGGACATTTAATCTAATAAAAGGAGCCATGTTAGTACTAACATTATTATAAGGGTACTAGGTATTTTAATGGATATCGTCAAAGAATTGTGTACAGGTTATTTTTAGCCTCGAGATTTACTTAAAGGACGACAGCCCATTTCAATATATATATGTAATAACTACATTAAAACAATTAAACAGTAATTTACATGTTTTTTGAAACAAAGACTAATATTCCCTAAATTTGGAAATATTTTCGATTAACATTTTGCTCGGAGAGATAACTATTTTTGGCCATATTTCATAAAAAAAAACCTCTTTGATATTCCTTGATTATTTTAGTACGGGGATGATAGACGACAAAAACTTTTCAAATCATTACGAATGCACGCAATTCTACTTAAAATCAGTCTGTTGATCGAATGATACATTTTGCAACGTCGGTATACAAGTTGAAAACAGAAGACAATTTGAAGTGAAATTAGCGACCCTTTCTTTTGCTCGCTGTCCACATAGGCCTTTAAACCTTTCAGGACCAAGGGACACATGTGTCCCAAATTTTTAAAGTTGTGTAAAATTTTAAGTAACTGCACAATTTCCGTGTGTGTTTTTCTAATTATTTATTTGAGTTTCACTGCAAATAATTATGGAAATCGTAAAGACTAAAGATGATTTCTGTTGATAACGTCATCAGATGAAAATGTCCATTTTATTAAATTCAAATATGTGTCTTTGGGGGTTTCAAGAGGGCCCTCTATACATATTCATAGTTCTAGCCTTTATGAATTTGCAATGTTATTAATTTCTGTAAACATACATAAAGAAATGTTTCAATGTTATCCGTAAATTTGATCAAAATATGCAAAATATTGCATTGGGACACATATGTCCCAGTGGTCCTTGAAGGCAAACACCTCTCCTCAAAGGATGATTACTCTCAATCACAACAAAGGACAGATAACTTTCAGAAAAAGGGCGGTAAATATTAGTCTTTCAATAAATAGGCCTACATCATGAATGTTAGGGAAAAACGTTTCTTGATTAAGCCTGAAGAGGTTGAGCAGATTCTATTTGCAGACAACAGTGACTGTGAAAGTGATTTAGGACTAGATGATGAAGATCAGGGCTTTCTAGATGCTGATGTAGATAATGTTGGTGCCGAGATAGTTATTGAGGAGGTAGAAAAGGACTTGTCTGATCAAAATGACGTAGAGGTAAATGAGCCTGCAACAAAACGTCCAAAGGTAGACCTGAACTTTTTGTGGCGCAAAACCGATGCCAACACTGAAGAACTTATATCTATGCCTGCTTCCGATTATCGATTATCGATAAAACGCATCTATGATGTCAATCCCGATCCTATACATTTCGAATGTTATGCCACGTAAGCGTTTTGAACAAATCCGTGCTGCTCTCCATTTCGCTAATAATGATGAAGTCACTGTTTCTCGGTCTGATCCGTCATTTGATAGAGCTATCAAGGTCCGGCCACTTATCAACCACTTCAACAGAAGCTTTCAGGGAGTATTAGAAGCAACAAAGCATCAGTCAATAGACGAGCATATGGTGAAATTCAAAGGTCACAATTCAATGAAACAGTATATAAAAAGTAAGCCAATAAAATGGGGTTTCAAGCTCTGGTGTCGCTACGACTCTTTAACCGGCTACTTGTATGAAATTGACTTGTATACGGGAAGGAAGGCTAACACACAATATGGGTTAGGAGACAGTGTTGTGCATCAATTGACACAATCTTTAGATGGATCTGGATGTGAAGTTTACATCGATAACTTCTTCAACAGTCCAATCCTACAATATGATCTCTTTCAAAAGCAGATTATGTCATGTGGAACTGTTCGTGTTAATCGTAAGGGGATGCCGAAAACCTTTACATCTGATAACGGTATGGATCGGGGTGATATAGACTCCGTCACAGCAAATGGTATCAACTGTGTCAAATGGGTGGACAACAGAGCAGTGTATTTGCTTTCAAATCTTATTCCTGCATCTGCAAAGGTGACTGTTAAAAGAACAAAAACTGGTGCCGCTGATAGGATTGATATCGACTGTCCGACCATGGTTCAACTATACAACAAGTATATGGGTGGAGTTGACTTGATGGATCAGAAAAAAAGGGACATATGACCTAGACAAAAGATCGACAACAAAATATTATCTAAGACTTTTCTTTGATCTACTAGAAATAGCTGTTGTTAATTCGTGTATCGTCTTCAATAAAACTCTGGAAATGAAAGAGTCATCAACCAAAGCAATGACCTGTTTTGAATTCAAACGAGAAATAGCCATGGGTCTCATAGGCAAATACAGCAACAGATCCAGATCACATCCTCAAGCTGTATGTCGTTCATCGTCTATCGGTACTAGCTGTACCCCTGATCATATGCTTATCAAAGTCACTTCTCGTAAAAGATGCGTAAATTGCGCAAAGTCGAAAAAAGAAAACCGTACCTTCAACATATGTAATATATGTCAAATTCATCTTTGCTTCACTTCCGAGAGAAATTGCTTCGGAATACACCACAGTAAATAAAACCTTGTGAAGCTCAAAACATTTGTTAAAATTTTGTATGTTATCTTCACTTAATGTTTTTTAAAAGATCCTAAATGTAATGAATTTTTCATCAAATTGGTTGTTTCGTTGAATTTTTCTGAATTTATAAACATAAATCCGCAATAATCTGCCTTGTGTTTTACCCACTAATATTCTAATATACCCACCAAACAACAAGGAACATAATTGAAAATTTACCCTCATAATCGATGTCTATATGGTCAGTCGAAATGCATATAAAGGTTACAAACACGTTGTAGAAAAATTTTCCTTTTAGGACCACAGGGACACATGTGTCCCAGCAAATATCACGTGACCTAATTTGCATTTTTTGATACAGATTTCAAAAATATGTTTTCCAACCCACTATTCCCTAGAAAAATCAAACACGAAACCTTTACCACATCTAGAAATCTTATGGTCCTGAAAGTGTTATGTATGGGAAAAAAAAACCTAGCCTTCTCTGTCCAGTATTATTTCCTACTTTATGTTCTACTTATACGCCTAAGGCATTGAAACGACCTCAACAAACGACCAGATGAATACAGGTCCTAGATACAGTTAAAATCCAATAATTGAAGTGCACTTCAATACAAATTTTAAGTCGATACCACTTGATTATTTCAAGTATTGTTGACAATTTCTAGTTTCTGTGGCATTCCTAATTTACACAAACTAGAACGAGTGAGGGTGAATTTTTATTAAGATTTAGTTGAGAAGAGGTACACGAGATATAGAAACGTAGCATATTCGCTTAAATTGTGACCTAAAGCAACATTTGTCTCCTGAGGCATTTACAGAATAAAAATATCAAATAAAGCTAGGTTATGAAAAATTTATATTAGTCGGATTGTTGTTTGAAGAAAAAAGAAATTCTCGTGGGAAACATAGTTTTTATTGTTTTCATTTTTGAAAGAAATTGGAACTGTGACAATTGAATTTGGAAATTGGCTATTTGGGTGGAATTACTCGATCAGATCACGTTATTCAAGCAGTATAAATAATACCATCTACATTAATCCAAACGAATAATTGGTTCCATAATTATTCAAATGACGTTATAACTTCTCTTCTTTTATACAATTGCCATTCCATTACTCGCTTAATTATACATTCCAAGTCACAACGACATCTCATTTTTGACACTGGCGCTTCTATCTTGTGTGGGTCTTTATTACTATCATTGTTAGAATGATAGATTAGTCACTTAACTTATACTGTATTTGAAGTAAACGTTTAAATACCAGGCTATGGTGTGTTATCTTTTCAGTTTAGAAAAATACTCAATACTTCCAATCTGGATTCAGCAAGTGTTAAATTGTTTTCCCGATTTCTTTCAACCCCCTTTTAGACACTGTCATTATAAATTTGATGAAGACATCGGTCACTCGTTATGGCTGGACGTTATTGAATTAGTGATAAAAGACCATTATTCCATTATTCGGTAACTATACACCTAATACAATTAGAACAATTTTAATTAACATATTTTGTTTTCCTGAGATATCTTAATAGTTGTTGTTGATGGATTAAAATATTCAACATGAATCGTCTGAACATTCCAAAACTTCCTCTACTTTCTGGCCAGTGGTATTTTTATATTATCTAATAAAAACCACTAAAATATGGTTTGATGGCTGAAAAGAGCCTCCTTGACCACAGTTGATATTTTCCATTTCCTTCCTTTTCAAGGCAGAAAATATCCACACAAATTTAGAAATTAATAAAAGAATATTTTTAGTGGTAATTTTATTTGATCATACTTAAGGGTTAATTGAAGGTTTAAATTACTCATGTTCAACGTGTACATGACACATATTATACCGTTTTCTTCAACAAAAATATATATTAAGTAAATTTGTTGGAAAATCAAACACTATCATCTACCATCTACCTAAAAGTTCTAGGGATTTTAAGTATAGGATAAAACACGGCCGAGGATTTAATCACTAGGGAAATCCGAGGGAAAAGGTTTTAAATGTCATAAAAACCCGAGGGAAAGTGTTTTATCTGACTTATAAACCGATATTGAACCTTTATTTTAATTTTTATCGCCAAAACAAAAATACATTCTTATTATCAAGTTTTCAGTATTAAAAAGCACTATAAAAAATGATTTGTATCCTAAGACAATTTTATAAAAGAGGCACACAGATAATGATTGAAAGGTACTACATTACTAAGAGATTGTCTTAATCTGCCCTCAGATATAAGATGTAAGAATAAAGAATTTGGGTAAGTCTTGTACTTCAGAAGAAATAACTTGTGCAAGACGTGTACCTCAGAAGAAATAATCTGGGTAGGTCTTGTAACTCAGAATAAATAATCTGGGTAAGTCTTGTACCTCAGAATGAATAACTAACCTGGATACGACTTGTCCCTCAGAATAAATAACCTCAGTAAGACTTGTATCTCAGAATAAATAACCTGGGTAAGTCTTGTACCTCAGAATAAATAACTTGGTAAGTCTTTTAACTCAGAATAAATAACCTAACCTGGGTAAGTCTTGTACCTCAGAATGAATAACTAACCTGGGTAAGTCTTGTACCTCAGAATGAATAAACTGGGTAAGTCTTGCACCTCAGAATGAATAACCTGGGTAAGTCTTGTACCTCAGAATAAATAACCTTAGTAAGTCTTGTACCTCAGAGTAAATAACCTTGGTAAGTCTTGTACCTCAGAATAAACAACCTGGTTAAGTCTTGTACCTCAGAATAAACAACCTTGGTAAGTCTTGTACCTCAGAATAAATAACCTGGGTAAGTCTTGTACCTCAGAAAAACTAACATGGGTAAGTCGTGTACCTCAGAATAAATAACCTGGGTAGGACTCTGAATCAGTTTTGCTGCCCAGTGAAATTTCACCTGAATCATTCGACAGGTAATATGCGGAAATAATGATTTCTACACCTGCCACAATTGTAATACAGCTTACCGTCGGAATTTAAGAATTCTCATGTTTAACCATACTTTGACGACTCTGACAGAACTGTTAAGAACAAAATTATCCTTACACTTGTCTTATACACCGTATATCAATCAGACGAACAATTTTCCGGTAACCCAATTTGGTGGCAGAGAATAAACTAGTGAAAGATCAATATGAAGTCCTAATTTGGGGTATATTTTAAGGAATCATGCGATTTCTGTACATTTGTGGCACTTCTGAAGACTATTTACATAATATATTATATTTAGGGTGCAAATGAACCCAAAAAGACGAGTTGTCGCCTTGAAGGGTCATACAGCTAATAACTTTGTAAAAGCTGGATTCAAAGGAGAATCTCTGTAAGTTGAACTTGAAACATCCTATATAGGAGATCAGACCTGGGGCGTTCATATATTATGCTTTTAGTGTGAAACAAAATATTGAGTATTTCTATTATTGATAACCTAGTCATTATATATTCCTTTTTAACGTCATTTTATGATTGATTGAAGAAGTAACATGAAAGTTAGTTTTGCAGAAAAAAAAACACTATTATAATGAGACGAGGTTGCGGTGTCACAGACAAAAATATGTTCGCAAATATAATCAAAATAAGACAAACTTTAGAAGCATTGGAAATCACCAATTAGACAGGGTTTCAATGGTCAATGGTTTCACGTACATAGCTATTGTTATATTTCCAGGAAAGTTATTTGGCATTAATAACAATGAGATCGTCCCCCGTTAAAATATTTTTATTTATATCTATCCAACAAAAATTACCGTATCAAGCATTCACGTTTTTTTAATGTTTGGCGTCCACTACCCTTGAATATCTTTTATTAAACCTCGAGTAATCTATCATGTGAGGGGAATTGAAATTGTTTCAGACAGAAGCTGTTCTCGGTGCATATATCAGCTCTGATCGTCCTGACCGAAAGGTGACTCGTTCTAAACAAACGCCAAAGGTTCGACAATCTGTTCCGGAACACATTGACGACGTCATGGAATCTCAAAGGTCGTCAGGCAAGCGTCGTAACACCTCCATGAACGTAATACATAAAGGAGCAGTATTCGCGTGGCGAAGGCGCTGAAAAACGATATATGCATAGATCGCAGTTGTCTTTCGTGGAAGTGAAGGTTTGAGACACAATGAAGTATATTTTACTAATCGCATACATAGGTCTTTGTCATATAAAATGTATATCAATCTAAGACTGTCAAATTCAAATGAATTTGTTACATAGGAAAACAGCGATTAACAGGCAGCTTAACACTATTAAAGCGAGTATTTGGAAAAAAGTAGCCAGTTGTCACGCAATTTGAAAATAAACATCGTGTTTCACATTCTCTCATCTATAATTTGTCTTTTTTTTACGGTAAATACGTAGAGATTGCTATAATTTTCTTGGCATTTTTGAAAAAAATTCTAGTAATTGAAACAAATTCATGTTAATTATTGGTAGTTATGTTTCTTTCAGCCAGCGACAACTGGCTTTAATCTCTTCAAATATCATATTTCATGGTGTATTTCCACCTAGCGTTTATCAATATTTATTAACCAATTATCATAATATATATTATATTAAATCAAGAATAATAGATAGCTTATTCTTATATTGCGGGGCAAGAATTATTCCTGGTTTGAAGAAACATGCAACTTACTAAGTAACACCTCCTCTTAGGAGGAGTCCACTACTAAACCATCTTTTCTCCCGATTTTGCAAAGGAAATTGCTTGTGATTTTCATATAATCTCATATATAGGTTGGTAAAATCTCCTGACCACAGCCTGATTGAGAAGGTTAAAATGGGCATATCGAAGAACACGTGCGTCATCCTTTTTGGGGGGTGGGGGGGATATAACATTCTCGTCGACAGCTGATGTTTTTAGTGCTTCACAGATAAAATTATTCAATTAAGAAACCCTGTCTTTGGATGTGAATGGTTATATAAATAAAATCAATTTGTTTGTTTTCGCTTATGAGTTCAATAATCTTTGGGGTTAACATGACTTGCCATAGCGCATAGCAAAATGATGTCATATTGTCTCAATGCGTAACTAATTGGACTCATGGAATCGGGTAACCGACCATAAGTCAATAAGTCCAAGAGGCAGGGTTCAATTTTGGTTGAAAATTTTACTATGCAATTAGT